GACACAGTGCGGGTAATGTCAGTCAGGTAATCGTACATTACGAATTTGATCTCAGATTGCAAAAATTCAAAATGGCGGATTCAAAATGGCCGACCTAAAAGTGAAAAATTACCCGATCTTGATGAAACTGAGTACTCAGGGGTTTTCGGGGTCGCTGATTACGAATCTGATCTCAGACTTATAAATTCAAAATTCAGAATACATAAAGTACCCAGTTTTATCTCGATCAAGTAAATTTTCACATTTCCGTCGGCCATCTTGGATCCGCTATTTTGAATTTTCAAAATCTGATTTCAGATTTGTAATCAGCGACCTCGAAAACCCCCGAGAACTCAGTATGATCAAGTTTGGGTAATTTTTCGCTTTTCGGACGGCCATCTTGGATCCGCCATTTTGAATTTTCAAAATCTGACTTCAGATTCGTAATCAGCGACCCCGAAAACCCCCGGGTAACAATTTTCAGCTGTTTTCCGTGTAAAGAAAAATGTATGCCGCAAAGGGTTAAATGATTGAAGTATATACGCTGCGGCAGAATCTGGAAAGAACTAGCACAAAGAGAAAATAAAAATGTGGTAATGTCGTAACGGGTTTCAATATCAAGGATATCTACTAAACAATGCGGTTTGCCTGCGAAGAAAATCGCGTAAGCGTTAATGGAGAGATCTCGGTTCGCTGGGCTACTGTTGCATACATGACATGTACGCTATCAGTGTGCGTGAATTTGCAAGAAATCATTATTTGTTAATTACCAAGCAGCCGATCTCGCAGTATCAAAACTTTACCAGTGCACTCAACCCCTGATTTAAAAACGCCGGGGATCAAGCAGGAAATCCGTGGATGAAAACGCACAATAAACCAGCCGCCAGTTAGGAGGGGACGGCAAGCACGTGCCGCCTCTACCCACCGATGAATACGTTAATAAAACCGTCATGAGTGTATGCTTATCGACGAGAAAGGGGCGTCTGTCTGTTCATTTAAGCGTAAACGAGGGGCAGGATCGTGAAGTTATAGCGGAGTACGAGAAATGTACGTTATTTATGCTTTTCGACAGAAATGACGGTAAAATTTTGGAAAGAATGAAGTGTCTAAGAGATAAGTCAAATACGCTTGCTTAATTTGAACAGAATGAAATGGTAGGGTATATGCAAAATTATACAATTTCACTCGCTTCGCGGGTCAACGTGCGACGGAAAATTTTCCACGCGCCGCTAAATTGAGTTTTGTACTCAATAAGGTTGTTAGCTGGCTTGAGTCGTAAAAGAGGTACAGTCGAGAACGGGACAAATCAAACTCTTTTTTTCATTCAATGAAATTGTGTAGCGCTCCGGGTTGTCATAATTGTCTGCAATTGCCGACGAATTTACGCAGTGATTAGTTTTCATGTTGTTGACGAATTATTGCGCAAATTCGTCAGCAATTGCTCGTAATTATAATAACTCGAAGCGCTGCAATTTCATTGGAAAAAAAGCAATTAAACCGTTTCGCTCTCACACGCTATACTACCTGATATGCTATATATTTTCGTCTTTATATTACAACGTGACGATACATATCGACGATCTGTAAGATGTTGACTCGATCAATCTTTGCAAACTTAAAACGCCCTATTGTGATTCAAATATGGCGTCAAACAAATTTTCAAGTTACTAATTCTCCTAGTCATAAACCCAACAAATGGAATCTGTGTAGAGAGGTCTTTCGGCGTTATTTGGACTTTTTTCCGAAAGATGAAAAACCGCCTGCGGTAATTACGAGCCTGTTATAACAACGAGATCGCGGACATTGATAGACTGACAATATCAGCAATGATACCGCCTATATTTATGAAATTAATTACAGTGGTAATGACGACGACGACTCTGGGGCGTTCAAATATGTCGGGAGTGTGAAAGAACCTAATGCAAGTAAAAATGACTGAATACCGAAAATATGCCTTTGCCACTATTGTGAAGAAGAAAATTTTATCCATAAGGTACCGGCCAAA